CATCTGTTGCCAGTCTTCCTCTATTTTGTACATGAGACGCTGCCACACCATGGCTTGATGAGTGGTGTAGGTCTGCACCTGGGATCCGAACCTGAGATCTGAACCTCTGAACCTGGGCTGCCAAAGCAGAGCTCGCAAAACTTAACCACTATGCCACTGGGTCGGCCTCCAGGCATCTGTATTTTTTGAAGTTCCCCAGAGGATTCCAGAGAGCAGTGGAGGTTCAGAACTGGTGCCCTCTGCTCTCACCCTTGATGGCGGACCAAGCCATTGCCAGTCCCGCCCTGGTGCCACCGCCAGCTGCCTGCGACGTCTGCTTATGCAGTGCGTTCCTTTCCGCCTGCCCTGCCCTGACATTCTCAGGAGCCCCGCCAAGCAGCACAGACGTTTGGTGTGCATATTGACACAGCTGTGGGGATCGTTCCTGCTTGGATTTGATGGCTGATTTATAGAGCAGCTCTGCCAGGGTTATTATCATCAGTTCCTCCTCCAGTCACTGCTTTCTCTGTCCAAGTGTCTCACCTGCGTGTGCGGGCTTTCACCTTTTACTAGTGCTGTGCCAATTCCCATTGTGGCAGATGACACTGCTAGTGGCTGTCCTAATATCCAGTCTCTCCCTTTTCCTCACTAACAACTCCTGTATCATTGGGGGCTGCAGTGTGCGCAGCTAAAAGCAACAACACCTACATTTTCCAACCACCTATCTAGGGGTAGCCAATGAGATGTAAGCAGAAGTTGTGAGGTGAAGCTTCCAGGATAGCTCCTAAAAGATTGCCTTACTCAGTTGGGAGGCAGATCCCCTTTGGTCCTTACCATCCTTTTTCCTGCCTGGAATGTGGATGTGCTGGATGATGCTCCAGCAGCCATTTTGTGATCATAAGTTGACCTAGCAGATGGATGCCAAATGCTAAGGATGGCAGAATAGAAATATAGCAGGAGCTTGGGATTTTGAAGACAATTGTGGAGCGACCATTCCAGCCCTGTACTATCTCTGAAGTTCATGTTATGTGAGAAAAAATTCAACCCTTCCCTGTTTAAGAGGTGGTTATTTCTGGTCTTTGCTACTAGTCCCTGAATTCAGTTCCTGATACTCCCATAAACTAACCTGGTGATAAGAGCAGTTCAACAGAATGTCAGTGACTCTGCATCCCTGCCTCTCCCACCCTCTTACCCCAGCCACAAACACAGTTCCTCCTCTGATAAGTGACTGGACATCTAGCTGTGAGGCCGTTGAAGCTTGGTGGAATCTCAGAAAGTCATGAACAAGTGATGCATGGACCATGCCCAGCCCACAGGTAAGTTTTGTTTGGCCCACACTTATTTTTTAAAACTCTGAGTTTATTGCCAGCATTTGAAAATCTGGTGATTTGGCATAAAAATCCCGATTTCTTAGAAATCTGTTGACCCAGGGTCTTCCTTTCTGCCTGGCAACAATCAGCTGGAACTGAGTAGCAGCTGCCGTGCGATGAGGGAGGTGCTCTGTGGATCACATGGCCCCCTTCACTCATGTTACCTGTGTGGCCCTGAAGGAAGTTTGCAACCTTCCCCCTCCCCCTGCAAACCCACATCCCGGAAATGGCCTGCTGAAATGGAATTCCTGACTTTCCTGTGCCTTTCTTCTTTCCCAGTCTCCCCTCACTCAACACTTAGCACACTGGGATTTTTGTTTCTTCTCTCAGAAAACCGAGCATGCACTTTTGAGAAACAGAGAGAAATCAGCCATGAATGTCAGAAATGTCAGAAAACAGCTGATGTTGCTTCTTGGAGGCATCTTGAACTTCCCTTGTCACATGTCTTGTCTTATTGACGAGACATAAGAGGGAGAGCTGCAGGCTCCCCAGGGAGCAGCTGTTGGGATGCCTGATTGAGGCACTGAGACATCCAGAAGACAATGACATCGACTATTGAGTATGGGTTGCTTTGAACGACTTTTATTACGATGTCGTGAGCTGACTTTGGTTGTAAGAGTGACTCCATCTCAGCTGGCTCTTAACTGTGGCGCTGAGACATAACTCAGAGGTTTCCTAAACGGCAGGACTTGGAAGATGCACATTAGCCGCCCTGTGCTCATGGAGTCCGTTATGCAACATGCGGGCTCCTCGGCTGTGGGAACCACGTAATGACCCCTGAGAAAACCTCAGCTGCTGTGGCTGACCCTCAGCTGGGGTGACCCCGCTGGAGCTGTTCAGTGGACAGTCTCTCTCTCAGTCTGATGGATGGCTAAGTCTTTACATCACCGCTCACTGACTACTCGGAAAGTTAAATGCCCATGCAGTTTTTTACAAACATAGGTCTCTGGGGTTTGGGAGAGAAAAACAAAAATGATTTTGATGATAATAATTTGTAGCTATGATTCTTTATGAATTACACACAGAGTGCAATATGTCGGGTTGAGGATGATCATCTTTGCATTAGCAGCTCTAAGTAAAATGGCACCAAACTGAGCACAGAGCAAGATAAAGTAGATTGTCTTGAGAAGAAAACAGGAAACAGTTAAGTGGAATTGACATTCCCCAGGTTGGCACCAAAGTCTTAGGGTTCATTCCACCACGAAAATAAGTTCTGGCTCGTGTGTACTAATGGACTCTCACAGTGTGCAGGATGGTGATTGGGCAGCAGGCCTAAGGAAATGCTCTGCCTGCTTTGGAGCTGGTTTCTGTGGGAAGCAGGACTCTGCTGCTGGGGCAGGCAGATGCCTGGGTTCATTTGTACAGTTGCACCGGCAGCAGCGAACAGGCGTGGGGCCGGCTGGGTGTGGGGGAGACAGGAATGGAGCATGGGGTAGGCTGGTGGAGCCTTGGTGCAGGTGGACTCTGCTGGCCTGTGTTGGCTGGTTACCCAATTTTATTTTCAGAAAATGTGTTTATAACTGTCAGATTGCTTAATTTTCATTGGAAACATACTCAGTGAATAGCTGATATAAAAAGAGAACTGAAAAAATGTCTTAAAGGCATTATTCCATGTAGACTTCTGAACATGGTCATTATATTCCAATTCTGTGGAAGAAGAACTCTGGAGGCTAGCCCACTTATCAAATTTCCATTTCTTTTCAGAAATAGTTTAGGAGCAATGTTATTTGGGGTCCAAGTGTGAATTTTTATGATTTTTGAGAATTTGGCCGTGTGTTCTTTATCTAAGCCTGTCTTCTGCCCCATCCTATCCAAACATTATATGCACCAGCAATATTCCCAAGTATTCCAACATAGAATCTGGTATGTCTTGAGAAAAATCACTTCCATGACTTATTAATGAACTAACTAGGCACAATTTTCATAGGGTTCATTCACCCAAATTTATCACAGAATATAATTTAAGAAGAAAAAATTAAATGGAGTAATTGAATTGAAGTCATTTTTGGAATAATATTAGCATTCAAGGGTCCCCACCCCCATAGATACTGCAGTTACCAATGTGTCAGATTTCCCCTTCAAGGAAATGAGCACAAATCCTTTCTCCAGTACGTGGACTGGCTCTTCTGTTTGCCCCTCAGACCCACTCCTCCCTCTTCCCGGTCCTGCTGGTGACTGGAGGCTGCCCTGTGTAAACTGTATCAGTGCCCTCTGGCATCCAGTGGGTTCAGGCAATGCAGGGTGGAGGGTGAGATCAGGGTATTTTAATCCCTGGCTCCCTCGCTGGGGCCACTGCAGCTGGCCATGTCCCTCCACCTGTCTGGCAGTCCCCGTATCCCATTCCCCCTCAGGCCATTACCAGCCCAGGGATACTGTTCCACCCGATTCCCTACAGGCGCCAACACCTATGTAACTATTCTATTCATTAAACTCGTAAATTATCCCAATTGGAGTGTGCCATCTGCTTTGTGCTGGGACCATAATGGATATAAATAAGCATTTGATCCACAGAGATAATAAGAGGATTGCCGACCCTTTGGTGGTTAGCAAGATAAAAAGGGGCCCAATAGCCCCCTTGAAGAATTACCAGCTAAATCCCAGCCCAAACCTTCCTTCAGGAAACCTGCCCTTCTGCCCCTGTGAATGTCATCCCATCTCAGGCTGGTTTTAGCTCTTTGGGGTTCAAAGCCCAGGCCCTCTGCATGTCAGGCCGGGAGTGCCCTGAGATTGGTGCATGTTTCAGAGAGTAACAGACTTGGATCCAGCAGCGGGGAGATCTCCGGAAAGTCACAAGATATGGAATGTGAATCATTGATCTTTCCGGATCTTTCAGTGTGTCTCTAACATGGCCCCTATGATCACTCAACTCACAGCTGGCACATATGTTTTAGGAAAAATGAAAGGATTGATGAATGTTGTTATGGAAAGTTTGTGGCCCCTCAAAATTCATATGTATGTTGAAGCCCTAATCTTTCACTGTTTTGGCATCTGGAGATAGGCCTTTGGGAGATAACTGGGGTTAGACAGTCACGAGGGTGGGCCCCCATGATGGGATTAGTGCCCTTATAAGAAGCGATACCAGGAAGCTCGCTGCTCCCCCACCCTCTGCACACACACACAGAGGTCAAGTGAGCACACAGGAAGATGGTGGCCACCGACAAGCCAGAGAAAAGGCCTTGGAATGAACCCTACCTTGCTGGCACCTTGATCTTGGACTTTCCAGCCTCCAAAACTGTGAGAAATAAATTTGTTGTTTAAGCCACCCAGTCTATGGTATTTTGTTATGGCAGCCCAAGCTGACCAAGACAAATGTGTAGATGTTTTTCCAAATGTGCCGTCTACGTGGTCCTATAAAGTGATCCAGTTTAGTGGTCCCTCCTCTTTTAGAAATTTCTGTTTTGGCAATTCCTCCTTATAGCCCACTTTAATATCTAAACAAACAAAGACAATGGGGGCTTTTTGGCTGAAATTCAGACTTTAAAGGCCAGTGTATCTTTCTCAAATTGGTTGAACATGGAAATGAGCAAATTTTCTCAACAGTTTTGCCAATTAAAAAATCCCTGTAGCCATGGATGCTGAGAAGGCTGGACCTTTGGTTCTGCTCCTAAATGGAAGAGGAAGGTGCTCACAGAACGATGCCAAGCACCAGCAGCTGTACAATTTCTGTTTTATTTTGTGTGCTTTTTTATAGGATATAAATAATGACAAAAATTACAAAATTTATAACTGGAAGCCCAAGCATATTTACACATATGTTTCTGCTTCAGCAAAGCTACTATTTACTTTGCTCCTATACAATTTCCTTTTGGTACCATATTTTAGTGTTATTTTACTCTCGATTTACTACATACATATCAACAGTGAATAGGCAAAGTATATACAAGGAACTGTTCAGTTCAAGTAATTTAATATTGTGTTAAAATTCTTCAACACTGAACTAAAACCATATACATTTGTCAGTTTGAAATAAAATTTAGTCATCCTTCTTCAAAACTCACCAACTGATGAATGTAACTGATAATCTCAGTTGGGTTTAAAATAATATTGGTTAATGAAAAAAAAAACATTAAGACAATCCCACAGTTTATCAATATCGCTATAATGAACTTCAAAATGATTCACAATATGATCGGTTAGAACAATATACATTAAAACGTTATTTTTTTCTATAATGATATTTGATACTGTTTATATAATTTGATTCTACAGAAATATACATTATGGTATCATACAAATACTCCACAGAGACATTAAAAAAATTAAAATACCTTAAAGAAATGTAAGTAAATTTTATTTAATCAAATAGTAAGCAAACATTTAGTTATTTATTTTTTTGTTTCAAGAAAAGAGCTTTATTACTTTGGAATCTCATCTTTTTTTTTTTTTTCTGTATTTTTTCTAGAAAAAAAAATTTTTGCAATAGAATTTTATTAACACCTTTCTCAAACAAGGTTTCCATGACAGAAATCTTGACAGCAGGAGCCCTAGATTTTTTTTTTTAAACGTGTTCTTTAAAACACTGTGCAGGTTAAAAAAACAATCTTTGCAGGCGTACGGCTGTGTCAGCGCTTTTGGGTCGACACCAGCCTGCCTGCCCCAGTCTCCTGCCCCGGTGAGCGCGGTCAGTACCCACCACGCCCAAGCCAGTCCTCTCAGCAGTAGCAGAAGGAATTTAGTTATTTGAAATGAAACCAGAAACATCCCTCACAGCTAACCTAGTTTTCTTATCAATGCATTAATGAAACATTCTTTTAATAAAAATATTTAATACAAGACACATTTTTCTGTGCATAATAAATTCCTCTGTTTTAAATCATTCTTAAATTTTGAATCAATCCATAGATGTAAAGGTTTTTTTTTTTTTTTATCTGACATAGTTGATTACATATAAAATCCACAAATATAGAAATTGGGAGACAGGATTTCCTGGCAATCAAGGGGTGGGTTTTGTCCTTTTGCATGAAACGATACTCAGTGTTATAATGAGTTTACAGATGCCTTATGGGGGTAGTTCTGTTCTGCTGCTACCTTTAAAACCGCTGACAGTGGAAAATAAACCCAAGATTCGTATACTTTTAGGCAGTATTAGAGATCCCCTGTACTTTTTTTTTTAAAGGTATTATCCCCAGATACAGCAAAGCAAGTGTTGGGGCAGAATCATTAGAAATACCTTGGGAGGTGGCAGGGAGGGGAGTCGGGAGGGTCAGCGAAAAATCTCAACTCGTGCCTCTTAGGGGTTACGGCTGGAAAGTCTTGGTTGCACTTGCTGTCACTGGTGCAGAAACAATGTCCCCAGGAATGGCCAGCGGCCTTTCACCCATGACAAGGCCACACAAAGAGAGCAGTCTTCCTCTTGGGCTGGGTGGAAATGGAGGCGCGAAGGAAAGCCTGCTCCGGGACTGTTTGGTGTGCAAGGCACCGCAGGACGGGAGGATGGTGGGTATCAGAAAATCGTGGTTTCATACTTGGTATTAATTCCCCTCTTGGCTTCCTGTCCCGGCTCCACGATCCACGGCAGATTGGCCAGAGTCTTTTGCTCAGATGGGTCGATCTGCTTTAAAACAGAAAGGCTGATGCCTGTTATACGGTACCTGTTACGGGCGTGTAAGTGCGCATCCTAATGCTGCTGGGAAACCAACACTGCGCCCTGACGGGACTTCAGGGATGTTGGGATGTGAGAATCAGTTGTTCATTCTTTTGATACACGTTTACTGCATATTAACTGTGTGCCCGGCACTGGCGGGGGGATGGTGCATGAATGTGCTCTCGAGGGCACACAGATGGGGAGCAGACCAAGAAACTCTTCAGTGTTGAGCAGTGAGGTATGAGAGGGAAGAGAGGGCGCTCTGTGGGCACACAGGAAGGCCACTGACCCCACGTCAGGGAGCCAGGGGGCTTCCTGGAGGAGGTGAACCAGCTTATGTCACTCCTCGGCTCTCAAGCCTCCAATTGTTTGCATCACAGTCAGAATAAACCCCGAGTCCTCGAGGCGACCTATGGTGGCTCTGCCCGCCTGCTTTTCTGTGCTCCAGCCACACCGGCCTCCGTGCTGCGCCCTGCATGCCAAGCCCGTGCCCAGGGCCTCTACACACATCAGCTGCTCTGCCCCAATGCTCTTCTCCAGACTCCTGCATGCTTTAGGCCCTAATGTCATTCAGGTCTCGACTCAAACATCACCTCCTCACCTGTTTACACTGTACAAAACAGCACCCCACCGTGTCTGCTCTCCTCTTCTGCTCTATTCTTCATAATCCTTACACCACATACATCATATCTGTTTATTTGTTCATCCTCCTCTACAACGTATGCTCATGAAGGTGAGATTTTGTCTGTTCTGTTCACTACTGTTTCCCGCAAACTTAGGAAAGCTCCTGGCAACCCAGTAAATAGCAGACTCACAATAAATATTTGTTGAATAGATATTATTAAAAGAATGAGGTAATGTCTAAATGGAGAGCTGGAGGACAAGCAAGAGTTAGCCTGGTGAAGGCAGGGGGAGAGGGACAGCATGTGCAAAGTCCCTGAGGTAAGGGAAAGCGGCCGTTTGAGGGCTTGCAGTCAGTCCTCAGAGTGGGAGACGGAAGGGGAGACACTGAGGGGGAAGAGGTAAGCAGGGCCGGGTCAGGCTGAGCCTTGAACCAAACAGCTGAGCTATAAAGTGGTTAAAACCATTTCAGCCCCCTTGCACAGAGAGTCAAACAGGCCATTCCTGGGCAAGGCTTGAGCTGTGAGCTCTCAGGAGGGGTCTGGGGCAAGTTCTTCACCACCAAACTGCTGCCTCATCCTTGTGTGTTTCCACGTCTGCCCCAGCCCCGGCCACCTGCTCTGCTCAGGGTCGCTGGGGCAAGAGAGCTGCGGGCAGGCCTCTCCTTTTTCTCCTGCACTGTGAGCTCTGGAGTCTGCCGGAAGGCTGAGGGACCCGTGCCCATCGGCTACCTTCCAAAGGGATTTGATTGTTTCTTCACAAGGCTGTGGGGAGGACTTCACATACTCTTAGGAATCATGAAATATTTCTCAACAATAATCAACAGGAGCCGAGGGAAATGGAACACGGACTCCAGCTGAGGGGGACGGGACTCTGAGGCAGTTAAAGAGCATCAGTATTATTCACCGTGTATTTTCACATTTCTCAGTGAAGGCGTCTAGAAGAATATTCTATGAGCCCTTAGGGCACCCAATCCTTTGTGCTCTTCTGGAAGAAGTCGATGGGGACCAAAGTCAGATGGAGGCACCTGCCATGAACAGATTTATGCAGCCCACATGAGAATGAATACAATAGTCTAAGAGATAATCCCAAAAACATTCTGAAAATTCCTGGGCATTTAACTTACACTTTTGTGGGGGAAGACAGACAATAAACAAATCTCCATTAAGAAATGCTACAGAGAATTAAAAGTGGGTGATACGCTTCAGCGTGACTAGGCGTCTACCTCTGATTGGGTGCTCCAGGGAAAGCCTCTTCATGTAGCTGAGGCTTGAGGGACAAGCCGGAGCAGCCGTGCAGAAATCGGGGAGACTAAGCCAGGTGGAGGGAACAGGTGGCACAAAGGCCTCAGGGAGGAGTGAGCTGTGTCTGTTCCAGGAACAGGAAGGCCTGAGCGTCGAAGAGGAGGGCGGTGGGAAACCAGGTTTCAGGTACTTGGGACTGTGGTGCCACGATCTCATCTATGTTGTAAGATCACCCCGGTTGCCGTATGGAGGAAAGAGTCCGTTAGGTGGTGTACTGCGTAGTCTTGGAGAATAGTAGTGGCAGGAGCTTGCCGAGAAGAGAGAGAGAGGAAATGGAGAGGAGGGGCTATCTGAGATATGTTTTAGGGGTTGAGTGGATGGAATCTGCTCACGGGTTGGATATAGGGGTGACGGGAAGACAGGAATCAAGGATGACTTCTAGATTTATGGCTTGAGCAACAGGGTGAATGGTTAAGCTGCTTACTGAGCTGGGAAGGCTTGAGAGAGAGCAACAGGTTTGAGGGGAAAATCAAGAACTCTGTTCTGGACATACTAAGTTTCAGATGTCTGTAAATACCGAAGCAGAACTTGGACGTGTAGGTCTGGAGTTCTGGGAGTGCGTGAGGATTGGGCCAGTAGGGTTGGGGAGGTGCTGAGGTGGGGGATCGGGGGTCAGAGTGTGGTGTCTGAAGGAAAGATTTTCAGAGGACATGCTGCTCCTGGAGATGGTCAGCGACGAAGGACGAGCATGGGAGTGACTGGCTGAGGTGGGGTGGAGGAAAAGATCCCAGAAGTGAGCTGCCAAGGAACAGAGGGGCCAGACACTGGGGATCATCCCCAAGGATGCTGAAGCTGCCAAGAATGGTGACAGGAATAGAGGCCAAAAAGAAGATTGTAAACAAAAACTACATGGTCACAAAGGGAGGTGCCTCACTGCAAACATTAAAAATCCTGCATTTCCTCCTGCCTCTGGGGACAGGAGACGATGGGGAGGAGGAGAGAGTTACTGGATGGAAGGATATGTGGGTGTGAGAGCAATGCATCTGAGGGACGCCTGCCTGCCCCGAGTCCCAAGAGTTTCTGGGATGCCATACGGCAGCGGGAGCAGAAACCAGATGGGAAGCTGGTTGCGAACATTCCAGCTTCTGGTAGCTACGACCAGAGGAGGCCGCTTTGAAGTCATGAAAGTCTGCTAGGACAGGATGTCTGCAGAGCGTGTGGGAGGGAAGCGGAGGAAATTCCTGGAGGAAGGCAGATGACGAGGAGGAGGGGCCGCACCTCTGAAGAGTCACCGCGAGGTAGGAAGCCTCAGCTTCGGGGAGAAAGCACGCAGGCCCCGCCCGTGCAGGCCTCGCGACGCCCGGACCCGCGCACAGCCTCTGCCTCTCGCTCCCTCTAGCTGGGTACCAGGGATGCTTCACTGTGAACCTGCCAACCTCTGTACAGGCCAGGGGCTCGTGAGAGGCTTTGCCCCCTGGTGGGATGGCAGCAGAAGCCTCGGGGAACCTTGTTCCCAAGCTTGCCTGGACCTTCAGGAAAGATTCACCAAGGAGAGCAGCAGGGCCCAGTCCCCCTCACGGCGCTGCTGCGGGTGACACAGAGAGGGGAATTTTCTCAGGTGCCTCCAGCTTCAGGCAGATGGTCCCCCAAGACTTTGCAGAGACTGGGCTGAGAGGATAATGAACACAGCTGGAGAAGGCCAAGGGCAAGACAAAGAAGGGAGGCCCTGGGTTCTAAACGGCACCCACACCACGCAAGGGCCCCGTTCGCAGCCCCCTCTCCCTCCAGTTCAAGGTTTTCAGAACACTTTCATCTTTTCTACTTACCACTGACTTGCGAATGCTAACGCGGGGCTTGGGGATGGGTTTGGAGGGTTTGTTTTCAAAGCTTTCTGGAAGGGTGGAGGAATGCCCCCCTTTTCTTGCTTGTAGTGCGAGCTGGTAAGCGACTTCAAATGCTTGTCCCAGCGTTAGGATGATTTCATAGGCTAAATTCTGCAAGAGAAATGAGGAAGTGTTTACTACGGGCACGCTACAGATAGGAGCAAGCTGAGCGGCTGAGGAACACCGAGGGAGGTGAACCAGCCAGGACACTGAACTACTCCACCTGATGTGGCCGTGAGTCAGTGGACATCTGTGAAGAATGGGACACTCCAGGTCTGATTTAGGGTCTATAAGGGCGTTAGTCAGTGATGCGACACACTTGCTTACTGCCATGTTAAGGAGCCGACTCCCCACTTCACCCACCGGCCCGGGAGCCCACTCTACTCAGAGCTCCCTTGCCGGCGGCTGGGTTGCTCCCCAGGCCCTGGAAAGGACGGGGTTCCGCTGGTCCTGCAGCTGAGTTCTGGAGGCGCCTCAGCCAAGCCCGTGAGGACGATCCCACACACTCCACGGGAGGTGTTCCTGAGAAGTTTGGTTCTTTTTACCTCAAACATCTGTGATTCAGTGAACATCTCTGAAACACAATCAGAATCTAATTCAGGCAGAGGGGAGAGGCATTAGTCATGCTGGTGCAGCGTCTCACAGCTACAGCAGCGAGCAAGCAAACAGAGCCAATTACCCATCTATTTCTTGAGGTGCTTGCTCTCCCCTGTGGGTCCACTCCATATTTTATCATCAAATCAGCGAGAGACAGGAGATTATGTCAGGCCCGGCTGCCATGCCAAGCAGCGCCTGAGTGAAAGGTTCTTTTCTTCGGACTTTCAATCACTCCTCTCGAGACGACTTCTAGCTTTTTCTTCTCTTCTCCAGAGATGTATCTTTGATTTCTGCCTCCTCTTCCAAGCACAGCTCCACCCTGTCTTCTCTCACTGAGAAAACATGACACTGTCTGACCCCAAAGAGGCAGAATCTCGACAACACCCCCAAGGTCACAGAGCATCAAAGAAGTGGATGCCTATCCGTCACAGAGAGCTTTCTCAAAATCCCTGAACCAGCTGAGAGCAGGCGTGCTCTGTCCCAAGTCTGCATTCTGATAAATGTCCCTAGAATGTCTGTTCATGGTTTTTCAAAACCACAGGAACAGCATTCTGCTTATGCTGCTTTTGCATCTATGCCCTCTCCCTCCCTGCCCCCCTAGACATAGAATTCCTGCGATTCTGGGGAGAACTGTTTGAGATTGTTTCCAGTTGATGAAGACGGAGAAGGAGGTGCAAGATGGACTTCAGAGGCCAAATGGAAGAGGCCCATGGTTTTCTGGACCAACCAGATTACAGACCAATGCCAGATTGTTATGGTCTGAGACCCAAGCAGGAAAAACGCCTCTGAGCATGAGAGTTGGTTTGATAGAGGATGTGTCTTCTCCTTTGAGCTACTTGTTAAGAAATGATGGCCCCACACGACAGATGTGTGCTTGTTGGAGACACTGAACCTCGCACAGCCAGCCGAGCACTTCCTGCAAAGAACACTGAGCCGGTGTTTGCCTCCCAGAATGAGTCAGACTAGTAAATTAGTAATGCACCAACAAATGACAGTGGAGGAGGGCTGGCAGACAGCTCTGGCCATCACCACACAGAGGGCTGAACCCTTCGCCTGCCTATACTCGGCACTCACATCATTGTCAACTTGGCCTCCTAGAGCGCGGATGGGTCCCCTCTGCAAGGCGGACTGGGGCTTCCGACTTCTGTAGTCTCCACGTGAAGTCGAGGGCTCTTGGTCTTGTTAACCGTCACTGTGGAGATGGCTGAGGTCCATCTGTCAGGGATGTGTAGCAGATATTCATGCTCTGGGTGGGCGACTGGACTAAGGGAAAGACGGCAGATCCAATGATTCTATAACATGCAGCTTTTAGATGCTGGAACAGTGGAGCTTAATGAGTGTGAATCCCTTTATCATTCAGTTAAAAACAAGTTCCTGAAAGTGAGATTTACTTAAGGCCCCAGTGTCTTCAAATAAAAGTAAAAAGATGCTCATTTGAGCAAGTGAGATTTTTCACACGACTATTATGGGAAGCCTAAAGCTTTTGAAAGGTACTGGGTTAGAAGCTCTGCCATTTCATTTTTAACTAGTTCCTGGTGTTAGGAAGCTGCTCAGATAAGACAGAGACCAGACTGTGGGCCTGAGGTTTCCTGCCGAATGGCCTCTCCTGGTTTGACTTGCATTCTCCTTGACTTTTCTTTTTATTTTAGAATGTTTTACAGAGTTCTTCTCTTATGATTATGTATAGTGAAGAGTTGGACATTGTTACCTTTCCTATACTTTCTGTCACCTTAGCATTTAAGGTATCGATTCTGGACACCAGGGAGGGCCCATGGGCACGAGACACGAGGAGCAGCTGTTGCCGATGGGGCTTTTGCATGTCGAGTGCTGTGGAGGGGAACAGACGCTTATCAGATGGGACCTGAGGACACACGTCTGGACGGGGAGGAAGGTTCATTTCTCCTGCCTCTCCTTAGTAACATCCCCACTGTTTAAAATGGGAGGCGAGTTATCGTGAGAGCAGGAGACTCCACTGGGGAAAGGCCACAAATAATATTGCAGTGTCAGAGAGGCTCAGGTGACAAGGCCTTGCTTCCTCCTTCGAGCCAGGCTTGCTGACCCCAGTGATGCTGGCTGGCACTGAAGATCCAGTGATGCTGCTCAAAAAACCTGAAAGCCCAATTAGTCTCTGCTTTCCACATATTACTGTCACTGCAACTGTGGGGAGGCCAGCGCCTAAGACTGCACCTGGTACACTGCAGGCACTCAGTAGATACTTGCTCAATGAATGAATGACTATCCAAATGACAAGCTGGAGTAACAATGCTACTAGTCATTACTAGAGGTAGCATAGCTGCCATTAAGTGAGGACTTCATAGGTGTTAGGCATTGTGCCAAGCACTAGATTTATCTCATTTAAGTCTTACCACAACCATCTGCAGTAGAATATCATTATTCTCGTTTTATAGATGAGGAAATTGAGGCTCGCAGAGGTTAAGTAACTTGCCTGACATCACAGAGCTAGAAAGTTACACAGCTGTGATATGAACCAATATTTGTGACTCAAAAGCCTGTGTTTTTAACCCTACCCATGTGTGGTAGCTTGTCTCCAAGATAGCTGCCATCAATTCTTCTTGTCCCTGTACACACCATGATGTCCCCTGTTGAGAGGGCGAGGCTGTTCCTGCACCTCCTTGAATCCCGACTGGCTTTACTGAGTTTCCCAAATAGAAGAATATGGCAGAAGTGACATGCTGGGACTTCGGAGATTGCACGGAGTCTTGCAGCGTCCGCCTGGGCCTCTTGGAACACTTGCTCTGAGGGAAACCAGCCATATGTAGAAAGTCTGGGCACCCTGAGATCACCACGCTATGGGGATGTCCAAGCTGGCCTGGGGGAGAGGCTGCTTGGAGAGAAACAGCTGCAGCCATCCCAGCCCAGGCTCCAGACATGGAGCGAAGGAATATCCTGGACATTCGAGCTCCAAGAGACACCACGTGGAGTGGACTCAAGGCTCAGATAGATGGCCCCAGTCGTGCTGTCGGAAAATCTGCAGCCATCTGAGCTACCCTAGCGGAGGCCTTGGATATTGTCGAGCAGAGAAGAGCAAAATTGCTGCGCTCCACCCAAATTCCTGACTCACAGAATTGTAAACATAATAAAATGGATGTTTTATGCCACTAAGCTTTGGGATGGTTTGTTAAGCAACAATAGATAACTGGAACACCATGCGATGCTAAAGAAGGCCGGCTGGACCCTCACTCAGGTGGCAGGAAGAGGAAGTGTCAGCCTCAGAGCTGGGATGAGCAGGACACAGTCGCAGGAGGCCAGTCCCTGAGCCACCACCCCAGCCCCGGCTGCGGGGAAGCAGCTGATGCCTGTGACCCATCCTGGTCACGGTAAGCACTACGGTGGCCCTTCACACACGCCAGAGCTGGAATGTCCTTTTCAGTTGGCACAGCCACACTCTCATCTCTAGTTACGACTTCGCTTGGGCATAAATTCAAACTTACTGGGCTTTACTCTCACGACCTCACGTCTCTCAAACGCTGTAACCCGGCTGGTTTCTGACCTTGGCTCCTTCTGCCCCCCCGCCCCCCCAGCGTATTAGAAAACACCTGCCTTGGCCTTTCCAGCATGAGTCTCTTTCCTAGGATCACACTTATTACGGCAACTGGCCTTGACTATTTTCTACCTTGCATAGACCACCAAGGAAAGAAGGGGACCCAAGCATGTGTGTGCCGGCGTGTGCGTGTGCTAGTGTGTTTGTTGTGGTCCTGGGGTGGTGATTGTGGGAAGGGCATGCTCTGAGCCTCAGTTTTTATCTTAAAATAGGGATAATAACATATGCAGTACCTATCTTACTAGAATGTTTTGAGAATCACTCATAATAATATTGAACCTAATGACAATACCAGCCAACACTGATTATTTACTGTGTGCCATCCACCGTATGACGTGCTTCATGGACTATCTTACTTAATCCTGACAACAACTCTGCGCTGTGGGGCTATTACTGTTCTCATTCCACACGTGAGACAACTAAGCTCAGAGAGGTTAAATAACTTGCTCATGGAGCCAACACCTGGCCGAGCTGAGATTTGAATCCAGGTGTTCTGATAGGCTACACTACGACCACTACACCTTAGAACTACCCTTCAGATAAAATAAAAGATTTCTGCAAAGTGTTGGAAAAAAAAAAAGTTTAAAAACATTAAATACAGACGCTCCTGGGAGGTGGATGCATCTTAGCTGGGGTGAGGGTACCTAAAGGCATGCAATTTGGATCTCATGCCAGGAGAGTGGAGAGGAAGCCTCCGGGCAAAGGCTGTCCTCTATGACCTGACGTGAACCATCAACACGGGGACTCTCAGCCCAAGGCCTGCCCCATCAGTGATTTGAGGGATGATGTGAGGGATGCGAGGCCACACTCCCTCCCAGCAGAGGCTCTTTGGGGTGAGGCAGGGAATCCCAATTTAATTTGGACAACTGCCCAGGGGGCACATCACAGTCTCTGAAGCCCTTCTCTTCCCTTATCCTCCAGGGATTTTGATCTGTGGATTAAGAATTGCTGC